AAGGGCGTGATCCCCAACCCCCCACAGCCCCAGGGCGGGGTGCCACACCCACCCCCACCAAGGCGGTGATGCCACACCCACCCCCCCCGCCCAAGGGCGGGGATGCCACCAACCCAACCACAGCACCAAGGGGCGGTGATGCCCACAACCCACCCACAGCACCAAGGGGCGGTGATGCCACACCACCACCCACACACCAAGGGGGTGAGCCCAAAACCCCCCACCCACACACCAAGGCGGTATGCCCCACAAAACCCAAACCCCCACACCAAGGGCGGTTTTCCCCCAAAAACAAAACCCCAAAAACGGAGCCAACCCAAAACAAAGCACCAATGTGGGTATGCCCCCCAAAAACACCCCCCAACCAAAGGGGCGGTGCCCCAAAAACCACCACCCCGCCCCAGGGGTGTCCAACCACCAAAAACCAAGGCGGGAGGGAAAACACACCCCAGACAAGGGGGGATCCCCCACAAACCCCCAGCACCAAGGGTGCGGTGATTTTTCCACACCAACAACCCCCAGCACCAAGGTGGGGGGCAAAAACCGCCCAAAAGACCAAGGGGGGGTCCAAACACAACCCACAGAAATGGGTGATCCCCACACACCACCCACACACCAAGGGGGGGGGTGGCCCCCCCACAAAACCCGCCACACCAAGGTGCGGGACCCCAACACCAACCCCAGGACCAAGGGGTATGGGGCCCCCCACACCACCCACAAAAACCAGGTGCGGGGGTTTCCCCAAAAAACACCCACAGACCAAGGGGGTAAAGAACACCCACCCCCAACAAAGGGGGGTGAAACACAAAAAAGACCAAGGGCGTGACCCAAAAAACCCCAAACCCACAGCCCCAAAGGGCGGTGAAGCCAACACAAAAACCCCCAGAAAGTGGGACCACCACAAACCCCCAACCCAAAGGGCGTGATGGGGGAACAACAACCCACAGCACCAAGGTCGGGTGCCACACACACCACCCCGCACCAAGGTGGCGGGGATGCCCCAAAAACAACACAAACCCCCAGCACCAAGGTGCGGTGAGCCACACCACCACCCCCCAGCACCAAGGGCGGTGATGCCCACACACACAACCCCCCAGCACCAAGGTGCGGTGACCACCCACACAACCCACAGCCCAAGGTGCGGTGATCCACAAAACAAAACACCCCCCAACCAAAAGGGGCGGTGATGCCACACCAAAACACCCACAGCACCAAGGGGCGGGGATCCACACACACACACCCCCCGCACCAAGGGGCGGGGATGCCCCCCACACAACCCCCGAAATTTTCCCCCCCACCCCCCCAAAACCCAAATTGGGGGTGATGCCACACACACACCCCACAGCACCAAGGGGCGGTGAGCCACAAAACACACACCCCCAGACCAAGGGGCGGTGATGCCACACCACCACCCCAGCACCAAGGTGCGGTGAGCCAACACAACACAAACCCCCACACCAAGTGCGGTGTGCCCACCACCACCCACACACCAAAGGGGCGGTGATGCCACACACCCCACCCACAGAAAAAAGGGGCGGTGAGCCACACACACACACCCACAGCACCAAGGTGCGGTGATGCCACACACACACACCCACAGCACCAAGGTGCGGTGATGCCACACACACACACCCACAGCACCAAGGTGCGGTGATGCCACACACACACACCCACAGCACCAAGGTGCGGTGATGCCACACACACACACCCACAGCACCAAAGGTGGGGTGATGCCACACACACCACCCACAGCACCAAGGGGCGGTAGCCACACCAAAACACCCCAGCACCAAGGTGCGGTAGCCACACACACACACCCCAGCCCCCAAGTGCGGGATGCCACACACACACCCCACAGCACCAAAGGGGCGTGAAGCACACACACACCCCCACACACCCAAGGTGCGGGATCCACACACACACACCCCACACCAAGGTGCGGGGATGCCACACACACACACCCACAGCACCAAGGTGCGGTGATGCCACACACACACACCCACAGCACCAAGGTGCGGTGATGCCACACACACACACCCACAGCACCAGGTGCGTGATGCCACACACACACACCCCCCGCCCAAGGTGCGTGGGTGCCACACCACACACCCCCAGCACCAAGGTGCGGGATGCCACAACACACACCCCAAAACACCAAGGTGCGGGGATCCACACACACACACCCACAGCACCAAGGTGCGGTGATGCCACAACCACACACCCACAGCACCAAGGTGCGGTGATGCCACACACACACACCCACAGCACCAAGGTGCGGGGGAGCCACAACCACCCCACACAACCAAGTGCGGGGATCCACACACACACACCCCCAGCACCAAGGGCGGTGGCCAAACACACAAAAACCCACAGCACCAAGGGGCGGTAAAGCCACACACACACACCCACACCCACCAAGGGGCGGTGAGCCACCACACACACCCACAGCCCCAAGGTCGGTATCCACACACACCACCCACAGCACCAAGGTCGGTATGCCACAACACAAACCCACAGCACCAAGGGGCGGTGATGCCCCCAAAACACACACCCACGCCCAAGGGCGGGGATGCCACACACACACACCCACAGCACCAAGGGGCGGGGAGCCACACACACACCCCAACCCCCAAGGTGCGGTGATGCCACCACCACCCACACACCAAGGTCGTGATGCCACACCACACACCCCCAACCAAGGTTTCGGTGATGCCACACACCACACCCACAGCACCAAGGTGCGGGGAGCCACACCACACACCCCCAGCACCCAAAGGGGCGTGATGCCCAACACACCCCACACCAAGGTGCGGGGATCCACACACACACACCCACAGCACCAAGGGCGGTATGCCACCACACACACCCCCACACCAAAGGGCGGGATGCCACCACACACCACCCACAGCACCAAGGGGCGGTGGCCCCACACACACACCCAAGCACCAAAGGGGCGGGATGCCACACACACCCACCCCAGCACCCAAAGGGCGGGAGACCACACACCCACCCACAGCACCAAGGGCGGTGATGCCACACAACCCACCCACACACCAAGGGGCGTGATGCCACACACACCCACCCACACACCCGGGGTGATGCCCCAAAACACCCCCCCACAGCACCAAGGTGCGTGATGCCACACACACCCACCCCCCACAAACCCAAGTGCGGTTTTTGCCCCCACAACCCACCCACCAAAACCCAAGGGCGGTGATGCCACACACACCCACCCGCCACCAAGGGCGGTGATGCCAACAACCCCCCCCCCAAACACCAAGGTGCGGTGATGCCACACACCCCCCACCCAAACACCAAGGTGCGGGATGCCACACACCCCACCCCCACACCAAGGTGCGTATGCCACCACACCCACCCCAAACACCAAGGGGCGGTGTGCCACACCACCCACCCAAAACACCAAATGCGAAAGGCCCCCCCCCCCACAAAAGGGTTCGGGGATGCCCCACCCCACCCAGCCCCAAAAATTCCCCGGTTAAAGCCCAACCAAACCCCACCCAAACAGCAAACCCCCAAGTCCCTTTTTCCACCCCCACACCCAAACCAACCAGCACCAGGCCCTGATGCACAACAAAATTCCCCAAACCCCAACACCATTTTTGGGGGGGTCCCCCACAAAAAAAAAATTAGGGGCGGGAAAAAGAAATTTTTTTAAGGAAAGGCCCAAATTTTTTCCCTAATAAAGGCCCCCTAAAAAGGAATCCGTTTAAAAAACCCGCAAATTACCTCTCCCTCATTATGGATAGGGATATAAATTTCCTGCCGAATCCGGGAGGGAGTTCGAAAACCTTCGGAGAAACGTGTTTCACTATTTAAAAAAAAAAAAAAAAGCAAAAAATACCGTACTAGGAGAGGAGTTTACGACGACTTTCGGTCCGACTTGGCCCCCTTTACTAATTTTTTAACACAAACAAGAAAAAAGGGCAGAAAATATTCCAGCGACAGGCCCGGGGACAAAGAGGAAGTAAAGGAATAGAGATAGAGGTACCCGGGCCTATATAACCACTCCTCTCCTTTTTGTTATTTGGGGATTTTTTGTAAATGGAAAAAGCGGACTCAAACTCGTCAAGCTAGCAGGGTGGGGGTTTTTTTGTGATTCAGCTACTACTTCTAACAAGCTAGTAACAAGGCTTGTCCCTCATGTTCACTACTACTTCAAAACGGAGCTCAACAATCTTGTCACTGCAAAAGATTCAAACGTACTTTCGTTTTCTTTATTAACTCCCGGAATGGAAATCCCGTAAAAACAAAGAGCCTATTATTAAAAATATTTTTTTTACCGTACTAAGGGGAAGGCTAGGGGAGCGCCTCATTCTGTCCAAATAATTTTCCCGATGGCTCGGGGGTCGATCAAGCTTTCTTTCCCCCTTCTGTCTGCCCCCTTTCCCTCTGGTGTTGTGTGTGTCAACAATCAATTTTTTTGCACCAAAAAACTCTTTTACAGGGTGACCGGTTGTGGAAGGGGTGAATTGCTCATTACCTCTATAATTTTCTGATTGTAGCCATGTTAAACGTAAGAAACGATACTTCAGATTCATTCCCTTTGTACATTTTCAGCTAAAAAACTTTTTGGGGGTCCCAGCCCCCTGGACCCATTACGTACCTCTGAAATTTTAAAATACCTTTGTAATTTTGCCAGTTGGGGGACCAATCTACCTGAGTTCATTACCTTCAAAAAAATGTGAGTTCTTCCCTTTTTGAAAAATTGTGAGTTCTTTCCCTTTAAATTTTGTTTTTCATTACCTTTGTAAATTTGCGAGTTAAATTACCTTTGAAAATTTGGAGTTATTACCTCGTAACTTGCCACTATCAAAATTTTTGGGATCCAGTCCCTGGACCAATTTTTTACCCCCTTAATCTTTTTGACTACCGCCCCAGGGGGGGTATGGGTGCATAATAAAAATATTTAAACTTAAACTTGATGGGCCCCGCCTATGAATAACACCCACTTCAAGAGAAATTTGAATAAAACCCCCTACCTCTTTTGCACTAGATTCTGGCACTCGTGGTACAAGCAGGAAGCAGCCTGGTTTAACCTCCACCTTACACAGCTGCTCTGGCCGTACTGCTGGTCAACCACACACACACAACACTGGTTGCTGAGTTGGTAAATTTGATATCAAACCTATCATTTACAGGAGGGTTATTAAGCCTGCAGTTTAGCGCTTCCCCCTTGATTATAATAATAATAATAATATTAAGCCTGCATGTGATCCATCCACCACCAGTCAATAATACCTTATTTCCTGAGATAGGGATTAGTATATCTCTCAGTATACATATACTGAGAGATATACACCTCTCAGTTCATACTACAGTCTTACCTACTCCTGGCACACACACAACACTGATCATGGTGGTTAGTTGGTTAATAGGGTTTAAAGCTTATCGACTATACTAGGGTTATTAATGCTACATTGCCACTGTTCACCACCAGACAAGAATACATTCATACCTAAAATATGGATTAAAGTAAACTCTTGGAATATATACGCTGAGAAAACTACACCTTCCGGTTATGTATCCCCTGCTGACAGTGTCACTTTGTTAGGGTTGAAGACTATCCGCTACAAGTGGATAATTAGGGCTACACGAATGAATATATATATATATATATATATATATATATATATATATATATATATATATTATATATATATATATATATATATATATATATATTATATTTATATATGTATATATCATGCCTAGTAAACCGATTCGTCCAGTTTGACCTACTTAGCAAGGATCCACTTTGCCGAATAAGCAAAATGAAAAGTTGTTTTTGCTATAAATCAGAGCAAATCGATCTGACTTCGGGTGACCTAACTTGTGTGTTGCTCAGACCTGACCATCGCCTGACCTGACTAACGTTTCCTCAGCCGTGTGTGGACTGTTTTATACTGTGTTACCTGGATACCTGTGTTACCTATACCTGGAGTTTACCTGGAGAGGGTTTCGGGGGTCAACGCAGCCGCGGCCCGGTCTGAGACCAGGCCTCATGGTGGATCAGGGTCTGATCAACCAGGCTGTTACTGCTGGCCGCACGCAAGCTGACGTACGAACCATAGCCCGGTTGGTCAGGTACTGACTTTAGATGCCTGTCCAGTGCCTTCTTGAAGACAGCCAGGGGTCTATTGGTAATCTCCCCTTATGTGTGCTGGGAGGCAGTTGAACAGTCTTGGGCCCCGGACGCTTATTGTGTTGTCTCTCAGTGTACTCGTGGCACCCTTGCTTTTCATCGGGGAATGTTGCATCTCCTGCCGAGTCTTTTGCTTTCATATAGAGTGATTTTCGTGTGTAGGTTTGGTACCAATCCCTCCAGGACCTTCCAAGTGTATATTATCAAGTATCTCTCTCGCTTGCATTCGAGGGAATGCAGATCAAGAAGGACCTTCAACCGTTCCCAGTAGTTTAGGTGCCTTATCGTGCTTATTTATACTTACGTATAACAGGAGTGAACAAGGTCCAGGGACTGCAACACCGACACCTCAGTTTTCCCATCACCACACCACCTTTTCTTCGTACCATCAGTTCAACATAACCACTGCTGCAACATCACCATCACTCCCGCCACCATTTTCCTTATTACCACCACCCTAATTTCTACATAAAGTTCACCCCAGCATCCTCGCCACCTTCGTTTTCATCTCAACCCGCTGACTACCTTCGCTATTTCCCCACTACCACTTCAGCATCTCCTCCACAACTCTTGGTTCAACATCATCGCTGCCACAACTTCTATACTACAACCACAACTTCTATACTACAACCACAACTTCTATACTACAACCACAACTTCTAAAACCATCCTTCAAATTTCCCCGACACCACAGAGACTTGACCGCTTCTCCAGCATTACCATCACATCTCCACCTGTCACCTCTACCTCAGTTTCCCAATCACTACCTCACAGAACAACAGAACAGAGGACTCACAGGTAAGGACTCACTAGGGTCGAGGGGCAAGTGGGGACAGGATGAAGAATAGGTGGGGGATAGTAAATATCGGAGAAAAGAGGAAAGGTGTCAGGACTAGACCCAACTGCTAATCCAGGGAAACTGTCACTACCTCAATTCTCCCTCCACCACTATAACTTCGACACCACCACAACCTCCCAATTATTCTACAGCTTCCCCACTTCTACCACAACTGCCCCCGCCACTGCTACAACTTCTCCATCACAACCTTAACAGAACTGCACCTTTCTCACCACCACAACAGCTGGCAAGATAAAATCAACACTATTCCCACGCGTGGCGCCCAGCTGGCCAGCACAAGACCAACACACACCATCACTTGGTATATATATAGTCACCCACATGGCCATATCATACATGGCCTCGTGGCGCAATGGTAGCGCGTCTGACTCCAGATCAGAAGGCTGGGTGTTCGAGTCACTCCGAGGTCATCTGTTTAATGACTCAGTTAACATTAAGCTTAAGGTATTCTATTCTGTAGCTGTTAATGTCGTACTTTGTAGCCAGAATCTGAGGTCTTGGCTTAATAATCAGTGGTGTGTTTGCCAAACAAGACGGATGTTGAAATAAGTAAAATAATAATTGCACAACAGTGATTTTGGTCACTGCAAGATACGAGAAACGTAAATCTCGCAACAGCATTTGCTTTTTCTACTTCACCCTGTACTAGACGTACAGTAGTTGAACCTCCACAACCTCAAGAGGAAGAGAAACTGTAGATTAGCTTCCTCAAGAGGTTCAGGAGTAATAAATAAACCCTATCAAGAGGTCTAAGAACTATATCTCAACCCTATCAAGAGTTCAGAAGCTGATGATCACCTTGAGGCAACCCAAAAATTTTAGCTGAATACACTGAAGTCGAACACCAATTGTGAAGGCACACTAAACGCTTCTAGTACCTATAGTTTTAAAATCTCAGACGGCACAGGAGCTGTAAATAAACACATTTAAGAGAGCCAAGAACTACAATAATTTGACGCTTCTTTTTTATAATAATAATAATAATAATAATAATAATAATAATAATAATAATAATACAATAATTTGAATCACTTCTGAGGCAGGAATTACATGTATGCCAGGGATAAAATGTATTTATCTAATGCAAAATTAACAGCATTTGCTAGTTCAGTCGATTTAGCTGTTGCTTCACTATATCAAGTTTAAAACGAGAAGAAAAAAAAACCAGGTTTATGATCCTGGAAGTATGTGATGCCACCAGGGCGGATTAAGGCAGCTGATGTCCTAAGCACAGCCAATAATGATGTCCCTCGGCCCTTCCATTGTTTATCGGGTTTAAGATATTAAGACTGTTTTCTTCAAGGCCATCATCCCCACTCCAAAAACACACAAGTATGACGATCACTTTGAGGTGGTCATCACGACCTCGGCTGTGAACGCTCTTAGGGACCATGACTTCGAAGTGGCTCCTTTTCCTCTGTTGAGGGCCAAGAACTCGATGTTTGTGAATAAGCTTGTTCACAACTTCGCCAGCCAATCAACGGGCGACTTGAAACAATTCATTGAAGATCAAAATGAATGGGACACCGTCGACTCCATCATTGATGTCAGCTAGACCTGTATACCATATACTTGTAGAAATTAAGATACTATTATTATATTATCACAAAAGATACAATTGCCAGCTCTGTGAACAAGGCCACCGTCACTGAAATCTTTATGGCATCTCAAGCACTCAGGAACATAGAACATGAGCGATTCCACCACATCACCCTATGTTGGACCTGCTTTGTTGGACCTGCTGTGTTGGACCTGCTATGTTGGACCTGCTGTGGTGGACCTGCTATGTTGGACCTGCTATGTTGGACCTGCTGTGTTGGACCTGCTTTGTTGGCCCTGCTTTTTTGGACCTGCTTTGTTTGGACCTGCTGTGTTGGACCTGCTGTGTTGGACCTGCTTTGTTGGACCTGCTGTGGTGGACCTGCTGTGTTGGACCTGCTTTGTTGGACCTGCTGTGTTGGACCTGCTGTGTTGGACCCGCTTTGTTGGACCTGCTGTGTTGGACCTGTTTTGTTGGACCTGCTTTGTTGGACCTGCTGTGGTGGACCTGCTATGCATGTACCAACCTCGCAAGCACTGCGCTTTGAAAGGGAAGAAATACTCCCGCAAGTGCTTCATGAAGGACCATCATAGAAAACTGATCTCTATCCTCAACCAAAATGTCTCAACTGCAAGAGTGATCATCACACTCTTGCAGCCAAGTGCCTTTTCAAGAAGGTAATCGTTATTAAACAAAAAATTTCAATCCAGACTTAAGTTGCAATCACTAGGCTTCAGTCTGACACTTAAAGTATTACCCAAGTTTCTGCTGCCAACTTTATTCCAAAACTCCCGGGACGACGTTCCTACAAGATCATATACTGCATGATGTATGCTCACATAAAGAATGCTACTTTTCCTGGAGCCTTCAACTCCACAATAAATGAAAATCTACGTGGAAAGCATCACCACCCCATCAGATCCTCCAGACACTGCTGCCCAATCGCTTCTGATAAACCCAGCCGCCCCCTGTCCCCACTCCATACCCCTGCAACTCCCCCAGAAGCCCAGGACTCACAACACTGAAGAAAAGATTGAAGTCGACCGCCATATCCGGACTCATTGGAAAAACCTATGATTCTTCACTACACCCAACCCAAAAACACTGTATTCACAGGAGAACTCCACCTCGACTCTGTAATAGAAAATATCAAATACATTTTCCATTTGTTCCATCAAAATTCACACCACGGACATGTTCAAGATTTTGTGTAACAGTTCATCTAAGACTTCGGTAACTATGTACAACTCACGCACCTAACAAAAGAAATGTTCATTTTTTTAAGACAGTAAACTGGACTCCTGCGCCAGCTAACTGGTACACAGTTCCTGGGTTAAGTCCTGTTTCTGTTTCTACGACTAAAGGCAATCCTCTCCGGTATTATTCTTCGCCTCTTCCCATTTCTTTCTCCTTATCTGTGAATTAGTGCGCTCATTCGCGTGGCGCCCAGTTGGTCCATACGAGACCAACACACATCACTTAGCATATATATAGTCACCCACATAGCTAACACGTACGTGGCCTCGTGGCGCAATGGTAGCGCGTCTGACTCCAGATCAGAAGGCTGGGTGTTCGAGTCACTCCGAGGTCATTTAT